GGGAGGTGACAAGGGCATGGGTGACTGTGCGCAAGGCGTCCCGGTCCAGGTAGCCTTTAAGTGTGGAATTGTTCTCATTATTTTGTTTATGGGTTTTAATTTTGTAATTGTTTGCATATTTTGTCACCTTGCTATGGAAATTGGCCCTTAAACATCGAATATTTGCTTATCATTCATGAAGTAGACTGAAGTCTTCCTGCACAATGCACTCTGTGTCTCTTGATATACAATTCATAGCCTTGTAGCAATGATGAATTATTGGTTCAGTTTTCTCAAATAAAGAACAATTCATTGTGTATGTTCCCCACCAGATTCCTATTTCCTCTGCTTGTATCGTGCATTATTATATTGGAGCATCATGCTTCATTTGTGTTCACAATCACAAACAAACGTGAAACCTTTCAACAAATTAATGAATAGTGAAGTATTGTTGCTGTTTAGCACAGAGGAATATTTATAATTTATAATTGTTTTTCCCCACGTCTGGGGGAAATGAAATCCCTTCCTGTCATTTAAAAAAGTTAATGATGGTAATATTCCTGGAATTCCATTCATGAAAGCATTTTGAAATCTCGCTCTACTTTATAGGGACTTCTGATATGAATGTAAAAATAGCAAGTCTTTGGATGCCATTGGCGCCTCTTGGTTCTTCTTTAAATTCCCACTGAAGCCCCTAGCAGTTGGCAAATCCCCTTCCCTTGCCCAGAGTCCTCTGAACTTTATGTACACTCTTCGGAAAAAAGAAAAAGGCAAGATAGCTTTGCTAAAAGAAAAAAGACCTTGATAAATGCAGTGCAGAGTAAGCTAGCATTAAGTCAGCAAAAGATGAAAGAGAAAAAAGTGGAGGGGAAAGCACACATACCTGTATAGAAAAGTGGGATACATGAAACATTTTTTGCCCAAAATGTTTTTTTCTCCTTCCAAGCCTGTCTGAACATAGAGACATTCATGCAGTAGAAGTGTTGTACCAATAAATACGAACTTAAATTTTTAGGAGGCAATTTAGAACATGCATTTATAATCTGCTCTGACTATGCCTTTTTGTTGATACTATATTTCTTACCTAAACAGGTATGAATCTCCAGAAATTGCTCTGAATTGCGGAATCATGTTAAGAGAATGCATCAGACATGAACCACTAGCGAAAATAATCTTGTGGTCAGAACAGTTTTATGACTTCTTCAGATATGTGGAAATGTCAACATTTGACATTGCTTCAGATGCATTTGCCACTTTCAAGGTTGTATTGTTTATATTCGACAATAGTTAAAAATTTATATCATGACTGCTCAAATTCATTTTGGAAAATATATCAAAGAATCAATTAGAGAGCCACAAAATCACATTATTAAAATTACAGAAATAATACCAATATTAAAATGTACATCAATCTTTTACCAAAGAGATAAACAACAATATAGCTTTTCAGCTGTTGAATTCTAGAAACATAATGATGAAGGTTAATACAAACTTAGTAATATTGGGGTGGGGCTGCAGGTTCTCCATCCCTGCTGAAATAAAAATTGCACAAAAATTGTGATTGCACTAGTTTTCTTGAAAATAGACGTAAGCTTAACTGAGTTATGTGGGATATGAATAATTATATGGAAAAGAATACAGGCAGTCCTCAACTTATAACAATTCATTTAGTAACTATTCAAAGTTACAACAACACTGGAAAAAGTGACTTATGACCATTTTTCACAAACTGTTGGAGCATCCTCATGGTCATGATCAAAATTCAGATGCTTGGCAACTTTCATATTTATGACAGTTGCAGTGTCCTGGGGTCATGTGATCACCTTTTGCGATCTTCTGACAAGTAAAGTCAGTGGGGAAGCCAGATTCACTTAACAAATTGTAAAATGGGGCAAAACTCACTTAACTAATATCTCACTTAGCAACAGAAATGTTGGGCTCAGTTGTGATCGTGAGGACGAGCTTTATTGTTAAAAATTGTTTCAGACATCCTGAAATTATAGAAAAGAGGGATTATCTTTTAAATAACTGTGTATTTTCTTATTTCAAGGATTTACTTACAAGGCACAAATTGCTGAGTGCAGAATTTTTGGAACAGCATTATGATAGGGTATGTATTTTTATTTCTTTCTTATAATTTCTTTCAACTATCAGAATAATCATCACATTATGAGAGTAAAAAATATTTCTTGTCCAGCTAAATATTTTTCTTTTCAGCATTTTTTGATTCATTGTACCAATACAAGTTGTACCTGGGATGTGAGGTTTTTTTAAGACTTGGATAGGAATTTCTTGCAGCTGTCTTACAATCTATGAATAAAATTGTTTTTGTAAGAAGCAAACAACATACTCTCACTATGTTGCCATTCCTGATAGTGATGCTAATCAGAGAAGTACATATGACAACCTTGCTCCATCTACTGGCCATAGCTAATGATAAAAATATAGAGTTGACTGTTTATAATCTCAAGTACGTTTGCCTAAAGAATTAACTGAAAACTCAATTCAGTAAGCTGCAGAATACTTATTTAGTTGTTTTATGTATGTAGTACAAGAAAAATGCTAAAAAATTGGAACAGTCTCTAAATGCATTGAAATTCGGTTTCTATGACTCGCATCCAGTTCTCTTGTTGTTTTTATTATTTCTAATTAAATGAGTCAAATAACTTGGGATCATTCTGTTGATTGGAAAGGCCATAATTATTTTTTTTCTCCCATCCAGTTCTTCAGTGAATATGAAAAATTGCTCCACTCAGAAAATTATGTAACAAAACGACAGTCACTTAAGGTAAAAAAAAAAAATCACTGTGCAATGGTATAAAAAGACTTAGTTATTCTGTTTTTCTATATTAAAATAAAATGTGTCAGGAGGATTCTGAATCTTAGGAAATTTGTATGTTATTTATGTAACTTGTTAATACCAATTCTATAAGTATGTGTTGCAGTCAATACTAACTAAAGCTTTAAGCATGTAATATAAATTTCTCCTTTTTACTATAAACACTACTCATTTTTTTAATTGGAAGCAGCAGTAGTAAAAAGATCATTTTGCCATTTTCTTCCACCTTCCTTGCATCTGTGGTCTAGTCTGGAAGAAGGCGTCCATATTCTTCGTGCTTCCATTTGACAATTATTGGTCCATAAGGCAATGATGACCTCCATTTTTTTTATGATTTTTGGAATGAATCCAAATAATTTTAATAGTTTACATGGCAGAGAATAGGACATAATAATAAATTAGCCTAATATCACTACTTATCTTTTGAAAATAACAATTGTGCAAAAGGAGATGCAACCATTGGCTCTGTTAACTATTGTGTGCTTTATAGTTCTTATGAAAAAACAATCCTGTTTGTTTATTGCTGTAGCTACTTGGTGAATTGCTACTGGATAGACACAACTTCACAATTATGACAAAATACATCAGTAAACCTGAAAATCTCAAGCTAATGATGAATCTTTTACGGGACAAAAGTCGCAACATTCAGTTTGAGGCTTTCCACGTCTTTAAGGTAATGCTGATTTACAATTACAATGTAATACAGTTGCCTAGTAAGGTTTGAATAAATGGGAAAGGGATGGAGCCAGCAATATTTTTTTTGTATAAGTTTCAGAATCATAATATGTAAATCCAAGTAATTATTCTTATTTTTTAAATCCAGCATCACAGATCTAAACTATGGTATGAATAAATTTATTGCTTACGAAAATAAATACCGGAATGCTGATTTTAGTTTCTTAATTAATTCCGCCTATTTATAGAACTTTTAAATGGGTTTTCTTTGTATTTTGCTAGGCTTTTTATGGATATTTGACCTACTTCCCAATTTGGAAACAGCATTGGAAACACTGCCTAAAGAGAAGCAATGGTGGCCTAGAGGTGGAGCTCTTGCCTCACAATCAGGAGGCTATGAGTTCAATCCTAAGTAGTGGCAGATATTTCTTTCTGGGCACAAAGAGAAAATATCTGCTGCAAACTCCCTGTAGCATCAGAAAGGACGTTCGGCTAGTAAATACTCAGCTCCCTTGAGTTGCCCCAACTCCACCCTAATGACAGGGTCATTAAAAGAAAAAAAAAAGGAAAAACTGCCTACATTGTGTAATTGTGATTCTGACAATTTTTATGCATGGATTGCATATGGTACATTGTACTTCAGTCCTTGTAAATTTCATGCATTGTATAGAGAAAATCGTATTCTTCTGTTAATATTTGCCAGTGCATTCTGATTTTAATTTTTCTGAAAATTGTATTGCAGGTGTTTGTAGCCAATCCTAACAAGACGCAACCTATATTAGATATTCTCTTAAAGAACCAGACCAAACTTATTGAGTTTCTCAGCAAGTTTCAGAACGACAGGACCGAGGATGAACAATTTAACGATGAGAAGACCTATTTAGTTAAACAGATCAGGGATTTGAAAAGACCAGCACAACAAGAAGCCTAATCTTCTAAAAACCCCTAAAATATTAAATCCAAATTCAGCATTTGCTGTTAGATATTCAGCATCAGGCACTCTTATCACTTCATGAGGAACATTACTGCTAATCCGCTGCTCAGTGAACAGTTTGTTTGTTTTTTCTTCTCTTTTATTTTTTAGTCCGAGTTGACAAACCTAGCTGCTGCTTTCTTGCACAATGTGGACTTTCTTGATATTTGTGTCTGAATTCAAGCACACCGCTTGTTTTTAGAAGTCCAGGGTGGGGGTGGGATGGGAAAGATTATTGGTTCATGAAACAAACATATAAGACAGTTTGAGATAGGAGAGAAGGTATTAGACTAGTTTATGACAGGGTGCATGCTAGCAAATCTGATTCAATCCATATGTTTGCACTTAACCTTGTATGAGATGCGAGCACAATGTGATCTGTGCATATTTGGCACCATAGTATAAGATTATATGCCTTGATTTTTTTTAAAAAAATGTGCAGTGCTTTAATTGTAATCAAAGGGGAAATGTATCTTAAGATGTGAGCTTTCTGGGATGAACAGTTGTCTTGCAAATAAAATTGATACTGAAACATAGCAACTTCTAAGAATAACATCTCAGAGTTCATGAGGAAAATGTATATATGCCTTTCATTGCTTTATAGTTTGTTTTTGACAGTGGTTTTCTGAGAATTGAGATGTAGACTTGGAAATGCATTATAAGAATTTTTGTTACTTCAAATTGTGTTTCAGACAATAGAGCTTAGCAGTGACACTTTGTGTTTCATTTCAACAATGCTTGTTTTATTCTGTATATAACTCCTACGCTGCTCATTTCTTTAAAAATGATTTAATTTGTACAGCAGAGGAATGTTAATGTATTAGTCTGTAACTTTTACCTGATACTGATACTGAATTTTGCAAAATGAAAGCTCATGTAAAATGTTACCTTGGATCACATGAAAATACTGATTTCACATTTCTTAAATACTGCAGCATTAAAAAGAATCCATTTTTTTCTGTATTTGCAAGTATAATGCAGTGCCATCAGTTAAAGTAGATTAAAAATATAGCTCTGGAACCCACTAAACCTGTATTCCTCAATGTTGGCCTTCTCCATTTATATTAGTGCTGTGTTTGGCCAATTGTAAATTATAAAGATTATGCTAAATTAATTCAGATTTGTTTTTCATGTGGGTATAAAGAGAATCTCTCTTTTCATATCGTTAGTATAATAGTTGTGTTGTATTTAACATATTTTCCCATCAACAACCATAATTTTCATAACTGTCCTAGTGTCAATATCCTGTTCCTTAATGCTGCAAACTATCAGTATTTATTTTTTTAAAGACTGATTTTGCACCACTTTTTGTTACTGTGATCATAACAAAATGCTAGATATATCTAAAGTATGTTATCAAAATCTTATCTATTCACCATAATAGTAGAACTGAGATGACAACCAGCCAACTTTTTGAATTAGGAGTATGAAAGTTCAAATTCCGCATGATTGAATCTGACTGAAAATGCTATACAATTATTTATTGCTTTCTAGCATCTATATGATTAAATTATTTTACAAATGATTAATTTGCTGATTGACATTTTAGCTAATTTTTAAAGCCTTCATGATGGAAGTTGGAATAAAGTCCAGCAAATAGGATTCTGATAATATTGGATATATGTTTCTTTCAGCAGTCATAAGCCATTTGCAAAATGGTCTGTAATATCTACTGAAAAAGATCATTATCCTCTATTGAATCATTTATATAGACAGGCAAAAACAACCGTGGAGGTGGTAATATTATAGATCAGTACAGTACTCTGTCTTTTTTTATATTTTGGTTTAGTATAGCTAAGACAAGAAAATATTAGGTGGCAAGTTATTCTCCATTATGCATAAGGCTTCCACTTTTAGAAAAAAAAAATATAGACATGCTAAAAGTTGTATATCTCTCTGTGTGTATATATATATCTATATGTGTGTGTATGTGTGTGTGTACACACACATCTATCAAAATAGATATATGAAAGTTAAAAGATGGATCTGGATATTGATTTTGCTTCTCTTATTTGGCATGGGACAAAAGGCTATACTTTAAAAAAACATTAATCCTTGGAGTGTTGGCTTTCAAAAAAAGTTGTATTTAAGACCATTTGATGTGCTATTCATATTAAAAACTATTGTACTGGAAATGGTTTCTTATCTGTGTGAAGGCTTAAAGATATTACTAAAAGTTATTTAATGTGAGCTTTTGGGATTTTTTTTTCTAAATGTGTACAATTGTAAATTTACTTCCATGAAAGCATCTCATTTCTTTAAATGAATGCATTTCTTATTAGAAGATCTGGCTGGCCCCTTAATTTAAATTGAAATAAAATTTTGAAGAAACACGAATTGTGTGCTATAATATGTATCAAGAAGAAGGTTCACCCAAAAGTAAGTATTTCTCCTAAGAAGTAGTCCGCTTCTTGTAAAACATTGGCCATGCATTTAAAATTGTCATATAAGTAAATAATATCCAACCAAACATATTTACCAGCTGTTCTATTCATGGTTTATGCAATTGTTAGAGTTAAAAACTATTTTAGGTTAAATTTTGGTCCTTCTAATAGAAATGGTCAAATATATTTGGAAGTTTAAAAAAAGACTAATTTTTTAGGACCGATTTGCTTTGCAAAAGTATTTGAAGTTATACTGCCATTGTCTTCTCCAAAGTATCCAAACAACTATTTATGGGTGAATATGTTGAGAATAGTAAGGCATCTGAGCAGTTTTCCTGCTACTTGAAGAGATCACTAAGTAACTTCATGTTTCAATCTTTAGAGTAGAATTGCCATTGAATATTATATATAAATCTATGCCATATCATAAATGGTTTTGGAGTTCATAAATGATTACCTAGGCAGCCTCCATATATCAGTTTTCTGTAAGAGTAGTACTTTCTGCCTCCTAAAGGTATACTCACTGTTTAAAAATTTTATGCATTTTTTTTAAATAAATACTCAGATCCGCAGCACCAATAAAAAGTCCTTCTTCCCTCCCCACCCCCACAAACTCTGCTGGATCTTATACAAAAGTGCATTAAAATTATTTATGATATTACGCTTGTTCATCACACTTAAATTTTTGGCTTTGAAACTTAACTGAAATGTTAGAATACAGACGTTCATACATCTTGGAATAGCATATTTATAGAAATAAAATGCCCTAATTTTTGCAAGATTCTTGATCTAGTCTTGAATCTTCTTTTGTCACTGCTCCCAGTAGAATCAAAAGAAAATGCATTATAACTACAAGCTGGCAGAGGAGCTGGAAACCTATAAACGTAGATCAGAATGAAGTGGGCTAAACCAAACTTGTTTGTACCAAGAAGAAAATATGTTTAAATATTAAGTGTACACACAACTGGCCTGCTTTGGGTGGGAAGCATATAATTAAAACATGCCTAAAATCAGCACACTGCATGTCCTGCATCTTTCTTATCCTCATCTTAACTAACCTTTGGGGATTGAGTGGGTATTCCTAGGTAAGACATGCAATGGATATATGATTGCATCAATTTTACCATTGAATCCAAATCTACCTAAAATTACCACTATCATCTATTAAATTACAGGTAGTCCTCGACTTACAACAGTTCGTTTAGTGACTGTTAGAAGTTATGACACTGAAAAAAGTGACTTATGGCCATTTTTTCACACTTAACCATTGCAGCATCCCCATGGTCATGTGATCAAAATTCAGGTGCTTGGCAACTGGTTCATATTTATGAGATTTGCAGTGTCCTGGGGTCATGTGATCAGCTTTTCTGACCTGGCAAGCAAAGTCAATGGGGAAGCCAGTTTCATTTAACAACCTTGTTACTAAATTAGCAACTGTAGTGATTCACTTAACTGTGGCAAAAAAGGTCATAAAATGGAGCAAAATTCACTTAACAAATGTCTCACTTAGCTTAGCTGAGAAGATTAGATTAATGATATTAGGCATCTATTCAGATCAGGCCATGTGAGATTTTTTTTAAAACTAGAATAGAACACTAGAAATATGTTACATTACATATCTTTTAATTTGACTATTATATGGCCAGAAGAAGCTATATAGTAAGAATATAGAAGAAGACAGTGCTTCAACTAAGAAATACAAAGGGGAATAAACTTCCTCTACTATCTAATGAGAATTGAGCATATTCAGAAGGCAATATAACTAGAGCACCCTTTTAGAGTGGCTTTTAATAAAATCACAAAATATCATTAAAATAGCAATAGCACTTAGACGTACATACCACTTCATTGTGCTTTACAGCCCTCTAAGCCAGGGGTGTCAAACTGCCGGCCCGTGGGCTGGATGCGTCATGCGGAAGCCGCACCCACCCCATTGCCGGCAATGGCAAAACTCCCGATACGTTGCACGATGCCATGTGACGTTACAAGTTTGACATGTCTGCTCTAAGCGGTTTACATAGTCAGCATATTGCCCCACAATCCGGCTCCTCATTTTACTGATCTCAGAAGGGTGGAAGGCTGAGTCAACCTTGAGCCTGATAAAGTATCAGCATCTGTAATGGAGCCCTGCATATATAGTCAGAAATTAAATATCTTGCTGTATTTGTCAGAAGAGCAGAATGTACTTTTAGGCATCTAACTCAATGCAATGGATGGCTAGAATGCTTCACATGTAGCCCATTTCAGTTGTGCATGTATTTAATCAAAACTTTTGGAATATCACTTTCTCAGATGTACAGTTTTCCAGGAAAAAATGTCAGAAAATGCAAACATTTTCTAGCACCCCAAATTTGGTGCAGACAACCAGCACAAGATCTGGTTTTATATTTAAGGCCCTTGCTGTGAAACTGATATAACAGGCTGCATATTGTCTGCATCTGCTTTCATGTTATTAAAGAATCTTTATCCAGCTGCTATGATTTTGAGAATTTCTGGGGTTTGATCTTAATTTCTCAAGCAGAAATGTTTGTAAATTTACCCTTAGTAAAATTTAAGAATGATATACAGTATGTTCTCCCATAAAACTTGTAGAATGGTTTTTCCTCTTTGTTTCCTCTCTTCTTTGTTCCATGCAGCTTCCTGGATATTTGCCAGTTATTCACAAACCTCATCTAAGCTTGGCCTGCCCACCAGACATGGAGTTTACAGTATCCATAATTTCAGTCAATGAGTTGACTGTTGTGGGCATTGTAGTCTGCCCACTGGAATGGATCTGGTTGGGAGGACGTGTGCATATTACTTTTTTTTTCTTTTAGCAAAGAAGGTTTAGTTTTATAGTTAACTAGCCAGTTTTTCACCAACATACTTGTGTTAGCCTTTTTAGGTAGACCAGATTAGGAAACAAGTCACCCATCAAAAAAAAAAAAAGACATTACTTTTTTGGGCTGAAATAATAATATGGAAAACTTGACAGCATTTTTCCTTTTCTTCCTCTTACACCAAAAGGAATCAAAGTGGGGCAAGCATTCTTTCTTGTGCCTTCCTGCTTTTGAGCATTAAGTTCCTGAAGTAGTGGCTGCTGAGTAGCAAGGCTCTTCTACAACTTCGGAGTTAACTATATATTTGAGTAGTGACTCCCTTTAAGATCTTGGGAATAAAACAAAAATTATATCTCGGTGCCCCATAACATACGGTCTGTTAACTTTTCAGATTGCCCGGCTTCATGCCTAAAACAAAAGTAACTAAGAAAATGTTTATTTCCAATAATTATCCTCTGCATTATATGCATTTTGAAGGCATTCTGGAAAAAAATGAAGGAGTCTATAGTGCAATGTTTTTGTTTTTTTTAATGTCTCGCTCACCAGAAAAAAAAAAATTCTAGTAAAGAAACATCTGGAAGGCTAAATGAAGTGGTGGTATTGAGGCAGTCATTTTATCAGAACGGCCATGTGTTTTCAGCTTAGAAAGGTTCAGAACCCTGGTCCAGCTGCTGTAGGTCTATTGGAAACAATGATAACCATAGTTTATGCAAGCTCTATCATAAGGCCCCTGCCTTATGGACTATTCTCCCCTCCAAAATTAGAATGGCCCCAACCTTTTGGCTTTTTGCAAAGTTTTAAAAATTTGGCTATGTTCCAGGGAACTGGAGCTTGGAATGTGTTAAGGACCCTATTGCTTGGCTTTACTATTAGTTGATTAATCATCATTGCTGCTTTTTGTACATATTTACTTTATGGAGGTTTTTATTGTTTTAATTTTTTTAAATTGTTTTATAATTTTAGAATTGTAAGGCGCCGAGAGTCACTTGGTTGAGTTGGGTAGCTATAGAAATTGAATAAATAAATAAAGGAATGAATGAATAAATGGAATGAACTAATGAATAAATAAATAATAAATACTAGCCTTTTGTTATGCATATGTATCAAAGGCTCTAAGTTAGCTGAGGACATTTGAAAACAGATAAAGGCAATAATGTGAAGTTTTCCAGAGGGGTTATTCCAAATTAACCAGAAATATTTTCTTCTACTGCTAGTATTTTACATATTAAGTCCTGAAATAAACTTTGTATTTTAAGACATTTTGAAAGACTTTATTGAATTTATTGCCTGGTAATTCAGTTGCCTTGACATAAGTGATCTGTCACCTAGGCAATGAAACTGGCTACCATAGAAACTGGAAGGCACCATTCTTCACCACCTAGATTTTATCTCAGCCGGAAAAACAGCTGCAGTTTTAGAGAAGTAGTTGAGCCACTGTGTTTCAGGAAGTATTAAACTGTTTTCTCCCAAAATTAAGTTTGTTTTCATGCTCTTTTCTAGAACTCTCAGAGTAGACTACATTGTTAGTGATTTAGTCTGCTTATTTACTCGAAGTAAAACCCACTGTATTCAGTGAGAATTATTCTGGTATATGTGTGCACAGAATTGCAGTCCTACAAGAATAAAAATATAGATTCTAGTGCAAGTATCTCATCACATTAGAGAAGCATTTGCTTTGTAAATTGAGCAACTACCAATAAATTAAAATTTGTTAGCTGAAAAATATCTTGAACCCTTACATTTTAAAAAAAATGGCAAAAAATTAAATACATAGAGTTTACTACATAATGTACAATCAAAATTTATCCCTCGCGACACATACACAAAAAGAAAAGAAAGGGATAAGAATCTGGAAAATTTTCTCATAAGGAAACACTCCAAACAATGTGAGCAGATTGCTTGATTGTTCTTTACTGCCCTTTGTTTAAAAAA